CTGGGCAGACTCTTGTTTTTACGGATGCATTGTAACAAAGGATGCCAATCTGAACTTTTCCTACGGTTTATTTCTATTGATCATGGTATCACTGCAGTTGGCATAACTTCATACGAAAAATAGGCCCCCATTCTGACCCTGTTACTATTCCTTAACTTAAATGTGACCTAGAAAATGTAAGTAAATATCCTGACCTAATACTTAATGTAATGGTCAGCACACACAATCCTGAGTTACCAGAAAACGTTAATTGCCATTTCCTGTAAGAAATAATTGGGTTCAACATAGGCAGTGCCATCTTTCTCTAAAGGTAAAGTAATGATTCAAGAAACATACAATCAACAGTCATGTCTCACTAGGGTCACGTCCTTCCAACTTCAAATTTGGTAAACAGACAGTAACTTGTAGGAATAAACAATAGTACAATGAATAAATGAGGTATAACAGGAAGATCCTGCCTCTCCACAGAGAGTTATGTTGGCCCAAAATTATACTTAAACCCCATATTTAAGTTGGTTGGGATTCTGGGAAGTTCACAACATCAGGGACCTACTTTTCACACCACAATCTCAAGGATAAACTAACAGATCAAGAAACAGGTGAGAGACACTCTAGTTGTGCTGCTATAGAATATCAACAGAGGGAGCTTAGCACACAAGGCACAGATCTTTGGTTCTGATTGCTTCAAGACAAATACATGTGTGTGTGTCCCCCTTTTTCTTTTTTAGGGTAGATACTACAGCAAATCATATCCACTCTAGGCTTTTAAATAGTCAAGGATCCTTGGGGGAGGATCATTTCACCTATATGATCAAGATATATACTACATGATTTGCTGCCCATTATTATTATTAGTGCTTTTTACTGGGGGGACGCACACCCCTAAACATTTTCTGAATCTATGTTTGGTCTCACTGAGGGGCAGTATTTCAATATGAGTAGGAAAATGAGAATACCGCTAAACATTTTTTTAGGAAAAAAGGACTGATTACATACATACATTAATTAATTAATTAATTAATCAGGCTGCCTTAAGCAGCAGCCGTATGCTCTCTCCATCTTATTTCATGTAAGACATCAACCTTTATTCTTCTGTTTTGTGAACTTCATTACAGGGCATAAGTTTAAAGGTAGAAGCACATATTCATAAACGGACACATACGAACTCCACCCAAAGGTCCCAAACGTCTTCAAAAGTGCGGAGAGATACGCATGGGTTCACCTGTACACCTTGTATCTGCAAGTGTCTCCACTGTTGGGGAAAAATTGACTGCTGTGTAATGAATGACTTTCAGAGCTGCACATTGCAAGAGTTCTCTATAAGAATTGAGAGCACACAGTTCTAGAGCTCGCTCACAGCTGTACTGATGCCTTTAAAGCAAATTTGCCCTAGAATGTAGCTAAAGCTGTTAAACACACCAAATCTCTCTCTTCTCTTTCTCCTTCAATCCCCTGTATCTTTTGAGCTTCAGATTATCATATTGTTTCGCAATACATTGGCTGACTAGCTTTGTTTTGCACAGAACCCCTTCCACTGGACATCCTGTTTTTCATTACAAGCTCTGCATCGAAAAAGGCCAAACTATCTTGCAGTACTGAAGTGAGTCAACATGATGAGCTCTTCTTTCAGTCTCAGTCCTTGTAGCTGAGCAAGTTTTTCTATCATGCCTCTATTCTACACTGATATACCACTGATATAACATGAGCCCGTAACCTTGTATTTATCTCACTTGTGTGTGCTATGAAAGGGCACATTCAAATATTTGTACAGTGGTACCTCGGTTTTTGAACGTCTTGGAATTAAAACATTTTGTTTTTCGAACGCCGAAAACCTGGAAGTAAATGCTTCCATTTTCAAACGCACCTTGGAAGTCGAACGGTTTCCTCTGGGTTTTTTTCAATTTCCTCTATTGAATTTGCAGGCTGCCCTTTGAGCCTCAGTTTTCGAACGTTTGGGAAGTGAAAGGGTCTTCTGGAATGGATTACGTTTGACAACCGAGGTACCACTGTATTTTCTACAGCATCTGAAAGAAAGGACGGGGAACAATGATTTGGGATTATGGGAGTTGTAGTCCAAAATCATCTGGTCCCGTATCTTCCCACCTAAAAGACTGCAAATGTCATCTCAGCCCCAAATGTATTTTGGTGGCACTGTTTTCAAGCACCACTTTCTTTTCTCTCTGCCCCAGCATTAAAATAGAACTTTATACTACGGGCCTACCTTACAAGACTGTTGTAAAAATGAATGAGGTGACCATAAATCATGCTGAACACTTTGAATGTGCTAAGGCATGCTTAATCAAGATGAGGCAGCTGTTTTAAAGTGTTGTCTTACAACTCTCATTATGCAGAGTCAGACCACTGGACTATCTAGGCTTGTATTTTCTACTTGGGCGCACAGTGCCTCTCCACAAAGCCTTTCCCAGTACACCTCCCTGAGATCCTTTTAACTAGAGATGCCAAAGATTGAAACATGGTCTCACCCTGAACTGTGAGCCTTCCACTTGGTTTGGAGTATTTCCTTGGTGGGGTTGCGAACTGCCCTAATCACACTCTTAAAACGCTAGATTGCTATGTTTTCAAGACAAAGCTTGGACTTTGACAGCAGACTCTGATAAAGTTGGATGTTTTTCCTTGTGATTCACATGCTGCAATCTTTTTAAAGCAGTAACGACTTTATCAAATATAATGAGAGAGTGCAAAAGTTCGCTGTTCTTTTATTATGGCTAGGAGCTTCCTTACTTTTATGTGGAGTAACTATAACACTATCAGATCTCAGGCATGTAAAATTGGAGACCTTTAGCCCATTCCCTGATTATACAAGGCTGAATCCCCTAAGATGCAGAGGACTATATCTGTTGTATTTCACTCTACTAACTGCTGTTTCAGTTGATCCTGAAAACTAGCTGCTGCTCTCAGAAAAGAGACTTGACTCCTAATTTGTGACATAGTCCAAAGGGAGCATGAAACAAGAAAATAGCTGACCAGCGCTACAAGTACATGAAATCCCAATAAAGTGGCTTAGATTTCTTTCCATTTTGTTTTTTCTTCCACATAACCTGATTTAGTCAATGAAACAGTCACCAAGTACGAAACAATATTAGCCTTTGAATGCAGAAATATGGAATGATCAGGAAAAGCATGTGGATGACAGCTTGCAAGAAATAACATTTCACAGTGCTGGTGCAAATACTGCGTGGGCAATTATCAAACACAAGAAGATAGCTTTTTAATTGTTAAGAGCTATAGAGTTCAGAACAAGAAAGAAACTGAGGATATACACTCTACATGGATATGACAGCACAGACAAATCAATAAGCCCACCACCCTGCTCCAACAATCAATTCATTGCAAGGGTGAGCAGCAAAAGAGTAAGAAGGATCCTCTGTCCACCCTGCCTCATTTTGCTCAGCAATGCCTTGATAGCTGCAGGCGGTGAACATAAGAAGGACTTGAGGGTACAAATATGTTAGAGCATCAGCCTTCAATCATCCTAGCATGCCAATGCCAGTTTAACTGCAAGCATGTGCAGTCTACCCTGGGCAAGAAGCTGGCATTGGATCCAGTTTTCACAGGCTGCTCAGAGCTGCCCAACTGGCATTTAACTTCTTGTGTTTTTCTTATGTTAAATGTTGTGCAATCATTGCTGGGAGATCCCTACTGTAAGAACTCCCAGAGAGAGTGCGTGCGTGCTGTGTTCATCTGTTGGGGAGGGTGTCTAGTGACACCTCTAAAACAAACAAAATGGAGGTGATATGCTTCTCTCAGTGGCAATAACACTTCTGAATACCAGTTGCTGGAAACCACAGGACAAGGGAATGTTATTGGGCTCATGTCCTACTTGCAGGCTTCCCATGGGCACCTGGTTAACCACTGCGAGAACAGGATGCTGGACTAGATGGGCCGCTGGCCTGATCCATCAGGGCTCTTCTTATGTCCTTAGGATTATTTCAGAAGCCTTTTTGTGACATGTTATCCCCAATTGACTGGTGGACTTTCAAAAGGTGACCTTAGATGATAATGAAATGCAAAAATGCAACCTATTGCTGTTGTCGGCCTCTGTCTGTCTCAGGAGACAGTGGAGAAGCGAGCCTTTGCGGGTGAAGTCAAACTGTTGCAAGGTTGCAGTGCAGGCTGTAGAGACTAATACCTGTATGGGAGAGACATGTTTTGTTGCAGCTGAGGCAGATGAAGATGTCTGGTTTTGCTTCTGCAGATGCACCATGGTGCTTCTTTTCTCTGTGCTTCTCCCCGTGGTCATTCCTCCTCTGGTCACAACTTGATCACAACGCCTAGAGACAGTCCAAGCTATCTGAAAGACCACATTCCCTCATACAAACCTGCTTGGGTTTTGAGACCTTTGGGGGAGGCCCTTCTCCCAATCTCCACCTGAGAGAATGTGGGAAAGGGCCTTCTTGGTGGTAGCAACTCCAGAACTCCCTCCCTGAGGAAGCTAGCCTGGCTCTCTTTGTTGTCCTTCCATTGGGAGGTGAAGACCTTGTTCCAACAGACTTTTGCCAAGTGACTGCTTTTCATGAAAGGGCTGGTGCCCTGCTGCTTTTTATCACAATTGTTGGTATTTTTAAAACACGTGTTACAAAAACGCTTGGTTTTTTATTTTTTCTACGTTTTTAGTGATATCCCCCCCCCCCTTTGTAAGCCACCTTAAATCCCGTCAGGGGCAAAGGTGGGGTACAAATAAGTTGTTGTTACTGACAAATTGACAAACTGTATTCCAAGTCTTGTTTTGTTTGCGGTTATTGCCCTGCTGTGGAAAAAACCAATAAAATGCCTATTTCACAGAGGAAGGAAGCACAACTTAGGTCGCCCTGAAAGAGGCGGCTTGGAGCACTCCAGGTCACCTGCGCATGTAAGCGCGCAGAAAACAGCGGATCCCCCCGGAAAAGGCGATCCGTGGAGATCTGCGTGGATCCCTGCCACCCGCGGCGACCCAGGAGGAGACCCTGCACTTCTGCCGCGGCCCAGGCGGCGGCGGTTGTGCCCCCGGCGGCCCTTCCCTGGCGCCGGGCTTGCCCGGAGCGCCCTCCGCCTCTCTCGGCCCTCCTCCCCCTGCTCCTCCTCCAGCCGCTCGCCGGCTCCAGCCGCTTTCGGCGGCCTCCTCCTCCTCCTCCTTCCCTCCTCGGCTCGGCTGCTGACTCAGCCACAGGGAAAACTCAAAGGGCAGTTCGCCTGCCTGCCTGCCTCCCGCCGCTCTCGGCAGGACGCGCGGGCGAGAGCGGCCTTTGACGCGCCCCACTCCGCCGCCATGGGCCCCTGGCCGGGAGCGGGCGCGTGAAGCGGGCGCCCGGGAGACATTTCTCGCGCTCTCCGCCGCCGACCTCAAAGTTGCTCCCCGGACTTCGCCGCCTCGCTCCGCGGGAAGGGGCGCAAGGCAGCATGACAGCCATCGCAGTGCAGGTAAAATCGGGAGCCCAGGAGGAGCCATTCTTCCTCTCTGGCGGGTGGGACAAATATATATTTATCTCTTTTTGTTTGAGCTGGAGCTGCGTGTTTTATTGGCATCGCTGTGTGCCGCCGCCGCCGCCCTTTGTTCTGGCGTTGCAGCGCCTCTGCCCGCGTTTCCCCCTCGCCCTACAGGCAGAGCCGCTCATCGCAGCCCGCGCTTCAAACTAGCCGACTTTCTTTTGCCACCTGTTGCTCGATGCAAATTCCCCGCTTATTATCATCGCTTTGTCTTGAAGCAAGGCGGAAAAAGTTCTCTTATGTGCTATTGTGTCGATCCCCCTTGCCTGCGGCCAACTCTCTGTCTCTCCCTGTCGTTTCCTTTAGGAGAGCTCCCCGGATAGAAGATCTTCTGTCCTCCTGCAATCGCAAAATCTCTCTCTCCATCGCTCCCTCTTCCTGTAGGTGTGTGTGTTTCAGATCCTCCAACATTTCTCCGATGAAAATAGGGACACCCTATTCCATCATAATAATAATTTCACTATTTATACACCGTCCATCTGACTGGGTTGCCCTAGCCACTCTTGGAGGCTTCCTACATACATACATACATACATACATACATACATATAACAGTAAACTTTTTTTAAAAAAAACTTCCCTATACGGGGCAGCCTTCAGACATCTTCTAAAAATGGTACCTTATCTCCTTGGCTGGGAGGGGATCACATAACTCCATACCCTCCAACATTTCTTCCATGAGGACATTCCAGGGACATTCCAGGATCAAATCAGAAACCGGGACAGTTTTTGTAAATCTGGGACTGTCTCTGGAAAATAGGAACACTTGGAGGGTCTGGCGTTTACGTCGGAGTCTGAATGTCTGGTCTGCTTTTCTAGATTTACATTCATCATCCAATGAGGGAATTCTGATGAGAGACAGTGGTTAGAGTGTGGGGGTTAGAGTTTGAATCCTCCCCGCTCAACAAAAAGCTCACTGGGTGTCCTTGGGCCAGTCGCTGCCTCACAGCTGAACCTACCTCACAGGGTTGTTGTCCCATTGAATATGCAAAGTCTAGCTGCATTCTTTGGGGGTGGGGACTTTTTAAAAACTTGTTTACTTTCTGACATTTCTGGCCTGCCTTTCTTCCGCCATGAAGCCCCTTTTAACATCATGTGTACAAAACGATTCTGCTCCAGAAGCAGAGCTATGGTCCGTTGGGGTTTCACTGTGTAAGCTTTTGTCAACTTAAGGACTCAAATAACATTCTGAACTTGCTCCATTTCCTCCCTTCTCTCCCGGAATGCAATGAGTTGTTTACAAAGATCAGTGGCTCTGTCCCTCCCCGGGACATTATTACTGATGTTTCAGCAAAACTGACTCTCGCTCAGTGGATCTTGTGAGGATATTTTGTGCAAGAGCCATATTTTAATATATAGAGATGGATAGATATATATAATGAACCACAGGGGCTGCAATTAAGAAAAGAAGAGATATAGAATGTTACAAGGAAGATATGCTCACAGCGAATGTTTTTAGCTTGTGAACTAAGCTCCTGAGAAATGGGAGCAGGATGGCATCATAGGGAGTTGCTTTATACTGAGTCTGACCATTAGTCCATCTAACTGAGTCTGGTCTGCACCGGCAGCTGCTCGCCAGGATTTCAGACAGAGGTTTCTCCTTGCCCTGGAGATGCTGGGATTGGAACCCATGACCTTCTGTATGGAAAGTGGATGCTCCAACCACTGAGCTACAGCCTTTTCCTCAAATTCCCATTTCAGCAGTTTCCAGCAAAATCATATCAATCTATGCATGTGTGCGCACACACACACACCCTTAAGATTCTTAAATAATAAAAAATAAGCATTTAAAAACACTTAACCTTTAAGCAACTCATATCCGGCATTTATTATTCCTCTGCTGGATGTCTCATCATCAACGCAAGCTCTGTTTGACTGCATTTCCCATCTTTCCCCCCCAAGTTGTCCTCTCCTGCTTCACACTCCTTATCCTTTGAAAACATCACCGTTCATCGCGCTGATCAGAGAGGAAGTCCTGGTTTTCTCTTTGACACCTCTCTGCCTGGGATAGCTCAGTCGGTAGAGCATGAGACCCTAAATCGCAGGGTTGTGGGTTCGAGCCCCATGTTGGGCAAAAGATTCCTGCGTTGCAGGAAGTTGGAGTAGATTACCCTTGAGGTCCCTTCCAGCTGTACAATTCAGTGATATTCCTTTGCTCCCTATGTTGTGCCCATCTCCAAAGCAGCCTGGATAGCTCAGTTGGTTAGAGCATGGTGCTGAAAGTGCCGAGGTTGCAGGTTCAATCTCTGTATGGGACAGCTGTATATTCCTGCATTGCAGGGTGTTGGAATAGATGTTCCTCAGGGTCCCTTCTAACTCTACAGTTCTATGAAATGACATCACTACTCCCTTTGCAACATTATAAAATGATGGCCCTGGAAAACCCATGAGACAGCTCCTCAGACAATAAAGGTTATCTTGATGGAGACATCAAAATAGTCAGGGTCCTTTCCTCCAACACGCAGGAAATCAGAACTCGGTGGAGCTGCAATACTCATTACTAGAATAGTGTGTATAGGGAGAAGTGGAACATTTTAATCTCTCACTTTTAAAACTCTGGAGGCGGCGTCAATGACAGCCAACACTTCTGCACAGAACAAGCCATGGCAAGACAGATCGAAATGTTAAGCTGGGGAAGTTTCAATGTAGCCTTGGGCGGGCAGCCTGGGCAGGCAAGCTTGCAGTGGCAGCCAGGGAGGCAAGTTCGTAAAGTGGGGCAAGCCACATGTGCAATAGACTTGTTCCTACACACACAATTTAAAAAAACACTCTGATGGTGGGAGGATTTCCTGGTTCAGCCAATAACAGGTCTGTGCTGCTTTGTTGTTGTTTAGTTGTTTGGTCATGTCCGACTCTTTGTGACCCCATGGACCAGAGCACGCCAGGCACTCCTGTCTTCCACTGCCTCCCGCAGTTTGGTCAAACTCATGTTGGTAGATTCAAGAACACTGTCCAACCATCTTGTCCTCTGTTGTCCCCTTCTCCTAGTGCCCTCAATCTTTCCCAGCATCAGTGTCTTCTCCAGGGAGTCTTCTCTTCTCATGAGGTGGCCAAAGTATTGGAGCCTCAGCTTCACGATCTGTCCTTCCAGTGAGCACTCAGGGCTGATTTCCTTAAGAATGGATACATTTGATCTTCTTGCAGTCCATGGGACTCTCAAGAGTCTCCTCCAGCACCATAATTCAAAAGCATCAATTCTTCAGCAATCAGCCTTCTTTATGGTCCAGCTAGTGGGAAATAAAAACTCTGTTTGCTAGTATATGGTGCCTTGTTGCTTCTCTGAATAGTAGTCAGCCAGGGCATTGCCTACGAGACCCAAGAAAGATGTGACTAAGTGTAGCCTGCTTCACTTTTCTTTTTCTTATGAATGAAATATGGCAGATAACTTACTTTTCCCCCAGACTTTTTACTTATACAGCATAAATGTAGCACCTCTCTCCCTCCCTCCCCCCCTCTCTCACACACAAGATCTTATATTCAAAATATTGGTTTGGTAAGACTTCCCACTGCTTCTGTGGCATTTTAAATGTTTTATCACTGCCTTCCCTTTCTCACAGCACTCTCAAATCATTTGTATATTAAGGCTGCATACACACCATCGATGTAAGGCACATTGCTTCCCCCAAAGAATCCTGGGAACTCCTCGCAGATCTGAAGTTCCCTGCACCATTAACAAACTACAATTCCCAAGATTCTTTGAGGTTGGCCGTGTGCTTTAAATGTGTAGCGTGTACCCAGCCAAGCTTGTCTGCACGGTGTATTTAACCGACTTCAACGACTCTTGGTGTTATTGAGCATTCTTTCTAACTGGTCACAACATCAATAGCAATATAATTGCTGGCTGAGATTTAAAAGCAATCTGTGTTGCTTTAATAGGAGGGGTATTTAACTTCTTTCTTTCTGGACCTTCTCTTTAAGGCCCAGTGGTTACTCACTCGTAGAAGACGGACAAGATCGTTTTTTGAGATGTTCATCAGGAGCCTGCTTATCCTCTGCGTTGCAATAGCCATTGTCCTGTCCTCCATTGCTGTGTGCGATGGGCACTGGCTTTTTGCCAAGGGAAAGCTCTTTGGACTGTGGCACTTCTGCACAGTCGGGAACAATAGTGCCCTGAAATGTGCCACTGATCTCACGTTGGCCAACGTTCGAGGGATCAACGCGGGAATGACTTTTGCAAGAAGTCTGGTGTCTTTTGCTGTTGTCGTCGCAATCTTTGGCCTGGAACTTCTCATGGTCTCCCAAGTCTGTGAAGACGTCAACTCCAGGAGGAAGTGGTCGATGGGATCGATCCTCGTTCTTCTCTCGTTCCTGCTCTCATTCACTGGAGTTTTGAGCTTCTTATTCCTTCTGAGGGACCACATCACTCTCACGGGTTTCACACTAACCTATTGGTGTGAATTCATTTCTGCCTTCCTTTTCTTCCTGAATGGAATCAGTGGACTTCATCTTAACAACATCACATTTCCGTGGAATAGAATGAGAAAAAATTGAAAGAATGGTAGATATTAGCTTCACCAGATACACAGAAAAGTAAACTGAGGCCTTTCAAAAGGAGACCAAGTTTTTTTAGTGTACATTAAGAGAAAATATATGAAATGGATATCTCCAAGATCACTTGATAATGGATGCTGGATACTGGAAGTTGGCTATTATGACCTGCTTAGATTTTGAATGATGTAACTCTCCACAGAAATAGAAGAGCAAAAGACTGGTTTCCTTTGTTTAAAGCTCATTCATTTAAAGGTGGCCCAGTAAAAGCAAAACAAACTTGATTTGCTGGTTTTAATGCTATTTAAGGCGCATCCTTACTGTAATCTATCTGGAGTTCTAAGATTTATTAATCAAAAGCCCCAATCAGGTCACAGTAAATTGTGACTTAATCTCATTAAAACCAATAGGTCAGATTGTCAGGACTAAGAAACCTCACTGGAGGTCATACTCAGTATCCAAGTGAGAAAAGGTTATACCGTATTTTTCACTCTATAAGATGCACCAGACCACAAGACGCACCTAGTTTTTGGAAGAGGAAAACAAGAAAAAAAATATTCTGAATCTCAGAAGCCAGAACAGCAAGAGGGATCGCTGCACAGTGAAAGCAGCAATCCCTCTTGCTCTGCTTGCTTCAGCGATAGCTGCACAGCCTACATTCGCTCCATAAGACGCACACACATTTCCCCTTACTTTTTAGGAGGGAAAAAGTGAGTCTTATAGAGCAAAAAATACGGTAAATGTGCTTTGTCCTTTTTCAGAAAACTTCATGTTTCATTTTTGCACATAAGCTGGGATCAAGATTAGGATCATTTGTACTATGCAAAATGTTGGGAATGCTAACTAGGGCCTCATCTCCAAATTCAAATAATTTGCATTTTAGCTTAACCTATTCAAAAAACATTATACGGGCTTTGGTGCTTGTTATTTCTGCCATGAGAGTATATCTGATTTATATACAATACCAACTTTTCAACAAACCAGCTGTGCACTGTGGAGATTATTGCTCTCATCTGAACTGTACCTCCCATGAAGCTTTTTATGGTGACAATTTGGTTTCACGAGATACAGGGCTTGTCTTACATCTCACCACATTCTGGTGTCTCTCTTAACCACTTTCCAGGTGGGAAAGGAAGAGACCTCAGGCCAGAGTGCAAGAGGTGGCTGGGCTGCCCTGGAATGGATTTCAGTGGCTTTCCAGATGTGGTTGGACTCCAGTTCCCATCAGCTGCTGCTGCCAGCATGGCCTGTGGTCAGGAATGATGGGAGTTGTAGTCCAGCAATACGTGGAGGGCCACAGGATCCAAGGATTGCCCAGCCGCATCTCCTACCTGGAAAGCAGGATGGCTTTGAAGGGGAACCACAGGAAGGCGCATTGATGGAGACGGACATAGACAACCAGACTTTGGTCATCATGACAAAGCTGCTTGACTGATTTGAACCACAACAAGGAGCCTAATGATAGTAGGTATACTCTTAACAACACCGGCCAAATGATAAAATAACACCTGCAGTATTCATTTGGTTCAGTATAAGAGATTTTAAAAGAAACTTCCTTAAGATGTCCACCTTTAATTTTGTAACATTCAGGCACCCCTGTTGCTGGAGAGCAACACAGAGAATCAAAATGCTTAATATATGGGTTGCAGTCATCTCTCACATGGCTGGAATTTATGCTAGATAATTTAATATTATGTCTGATTGTTATGTCTTTCATTCATGAATAGCAAGCATGGACCCCAGTCATTTCTATCTTAGAGTAAGCATCTTTACGAATAAGTATTATTCTCCCTCTCCCTTTTTCTTCACATGATTCCACAATCTCATTATGTGGCCAGATGGGTTAGAATGATTTCAATTATAGAAGATCCACAACCCTCATTGTGTCGGAGCCGGAGAGGTGAATTGGGCAGCTTAGCAGCAACAAAGGCACTTTGCTGCAGAGAGGCAGAGCTATCTGCCCAATATATTGTTAAAGAGGTCTTTGCTACTCAGAGTTAATGAGGAAAAAACAAGGCAAACTCTTCCCTATGGGCTAGAGACAATCTTTCAAAACGCCATCACTCTATGCAGTCCTCAGAGAACAGGATGTAGATCAGGGAATGCTGTGCTAGCCTTGCCAATTTCACTTCCCCCTTCTCAAAATCACAGGAAGCAAAGTTCCTGCTCTCTCTTTCTCTGAAGGCAGTCATCCAAGCTTGGGAGTGTTGTTCAAATTCTCTTCTTGTTTTTTTTTTTAAAATTATGCTTTGATAAAAATGCTTGGAAATTTTTTTGTTTGGGTTTCAGGAGTGATCTAGTGTACATCTGCTGGCAGGATTGTTTTGAAAATACATCCAGGGACACACATAACTACCTATGTAGTTCTGTATGGATTGACAATTGTTTCTTGGTAATACCCTAAAGAACCACCATTTACTCAGTGCAACCATTTCGTGACTAGTGGAGAGAGAAGTATCCTCACGATGGCTTAAAAGGGGTTGGTCAAGGTGGCTTTTATGTGAAGCTGTTCAACACACCCGACCCCCAAATAGTTGTCAAAATGGTGAGCGGGTGGCACACATTTGTTCATGATTATGTTGCAGAAGTGTTGACCAATTGTCCACAAATGGTTCAGGCGTTCTAGGTGAGTTGTCAAATGGTAGAAAGGGCTGATGAACGCAAACCCTTATCAGAAACATGTGACGTGTGGACAGGCCCTCAGAGAGACTGTGCTGTTCTCCATTTAAGCACAGTCCTTTTAAAATAATGGACATCTGGCAACTGGAAAGAGGCAATATTGTGCCATGGATTTCATTCAAGGGCAATCCCAAACGTTTGTTTAGGAAACATGATGTCTTTTTGGAAGAACGGTCTAGTGAATGAAGGAATTGTGGCAAGGCTTTGTTCCCCATGGGCCTCCCCAGATAATCATCTTGCAGCACAACAACTGTGCAATTGTGACTAATCTGCTGTGTAAGAGCCACAGAAGTGATAGCTTCCTTTAAATAAGTACACATGCTTAGGGGACTTTTGCATTCCCTCCCCTATCACTGGCTGCTTCTTAAGAGTTTCAGCTCCATTTTTTAAAAAAGCTCAACACTCCAACACTCCCTGAAGTACACATCATTCAGAGTTTTCTAAAATTGGCACACTATGATAAGGCATCCCACATGCATTAGGCGGGCCTGGGTATCACACCATTTCCACTGAACTGAAGCTTTCAAGACTATCCCATGGAGGTTAAAACGCATTAGAGACCCATTTTGAGCTGACAATCTGAAGGAGCCCTCCACGCCATTCTATAGCTGGTTCTTCATATGGGCGTATGATTCCATTCCTATTAAAGGCCATTTTGTCAGTAAAGACTGGAGAGTGTGATAGCAAAGGGGCGTGTTTGTATGTCTTTGTATGTCTTTGTCTCAAATAAGTGTTGTTGTTTTTTAATATGAAACCTGCAGCTTTTCTAAACTGTTTTCTTAAAAAAAAATGGTAAGAGAATATAGGAAGAAATCTCAGATCTGAATGTCAAATGTTCAATAAACTACTTTGTGAATTGCTAGTTCTAGTCCTCTGTCACAATTTGGGGGCAGGTAGCCATTAAACAAGAGCATGGAAACAGATGCGGAAGGGGCTGTTGCTCAATGGGAGAGACGTGCTTTGCACACAGACAAACCCGAGTTCAACCCCCAACATCTCCAGGTAGAACTAGCAAATATCCATCTCTGAGACACTGGAGACGGCTGCCAGTCAGTGTAAATAATACTGAATCGGACTGAGTGTTTCCTAGCTTTCCTCCAAAATCAAAAATGGAAATGGAAGACTATTGGAACACAGACTATGGCACAGTCTCACAGCCACACATTTCTCTAGAGCAGAGTGACCCAGTGCGTGGAAAGCTTAGCAGAAGAGACCAAATTATATTTGAAAATATTGAACTTGAATCAAAGATACACATGCAACTGGTAATGTGCATAGTCACATGGTGGGAAAGGAATCACATTCACACCCAGGGCTGAATAATAGCAAGGAATTGCTATCTATCTTTCTTTGCTTGGGAGGTTCACGAGGGCATCAGGTTGGCCACTGCCACAGACTAGAAAAGTCTGGCACTCCACAGGCAATTCTTAGGCTCTTAATTAGTACTTTGGCTCAAGGCGGCAGCATCAGTAGCTTGCAAGAGTTCAGACTTGGAAGGGCGCTACTGTAAATGGGTCATTGATAGGCCACAAATGGGTTGTTGGCAGTACAGGTGGGATGTTTTGTTTTGTTAATTACTGGATTTCCCAGTAAACAGGGATAGCATCCAGCTTCCTTGGTTCTTCCCTGAACCCAACGCAGATTGCTTTTCTCTCAGATCCCCAACTCATATGCATGTGTAGTGCGATGCCAAAATGATCTAGGCATGTTGAAAAGAAAAGCAAGTCCCTTTCAGCCTGGCAGAAATGCGCACAGGACTTCAACAGCCAATTTCACAAAGTTTATTATGAGTTAGAAAGAAGCTAAGATGACAACCGGAGGAAGCAGAAGAAAGAGGGCAATTCAGTTTAAGCCTACCTGCCTATGTATAATGTTGTTTTCGCCTAATATTTACGGTAGCTTTGGATTCATCACAACTGTTTGATAAGGGATAGTCCAGAACAATCACACCAGACAAACTAGATGGTTCAAGCTATCACACAGAATACAGTAGATGTTATTATCTCTTCAGCAGGAATGGGCTACTTGCTCCACACTGCAGCCTTCTGGGAGACCTGTAAGCTATTGGACCACAACTAAGGAGTGCATATTTATTTATGCATCATTAACACAATGCAATGCAAAAATAAAAAAGAGAGCATGGTAGAGGCTTGGTCCCAGCTGACGTATATTATGCTTCAATTTGTTCAAGGTCTCATGTGAGACAAGAAACAGTAACTCTGAAAAGATGGATGACGACGTTCAGTTAAGAGAAATGCTAATTCAGACTTTTTCGGTAACTTCCCCTGTGGCATTTTACTTTCAGGGTTTATTTTAACCCTGGCATGTTGGAAAAGTGTGGCAACTCCCCTTATCCTTAGTTTGAGGCGTCTACATATATTTCTTATTTGGAGATAATAAGTCCTTTGCTTTAATTCTGGCTTTTGGTTCAGACAACTTGTCATACAAACTGCCACAGTCAGTACAGAGCCCGCTTTGGCAGATGCATGAAGTGGGCACCGAAAAGTGTCCTTGTATCATACACATGCACCCTGAGTGCAAAGAAATAAATGAGGGGAAAGTATTCAATTTTTACAGCAGGAGGTCAAAAGGCCAAACAGTACAAACAGTACTTTGCAGGACATGCATGAATGCTGAATCCAATCAAGATCCATTTAGCATGGGTGTGACTGGCAGCTGCTAGTGATGTATAGGCATAAGAAAATCAATAATGTGGGGGGCGGGGAATGATTACTTTCTCTAGCGAGCAATGAATACCCAGGATCTGTTGAAACCCAGTTTCACAGTGTCAGTCACATGTGCTAATGAATTTCTTCTACCTGGTAGGTTCATGTTGGAATCTCACATGTTAGCAACACCTGCATGTGGTTCCCATAAGAGGGGAACTCAAATGTGCACATCCTTATTTGCACATGCAAATCAAAAGGCCTCAGATGCATTCTTTCTTTTTTTGCTTGCTCGCTCTACCAGTTTGAAGGCTCTTGCACTTCTGTGGGCAAGGCTGCAACTCTGCACAATAGAAGAGAAGGCCAGGAATACACAGCCACAAATTATGAGTAAGGAGGAGTGCTGGAATCTTCTTGTTAGCTATTGCCGCCCATGGAGGAAGAATTTGCTGCTTCTCAATGCGTACACATTGCTCCCGAGAAACGGGGGGGGGGGGAGTCCCTGACACCCATTCCCTCCCCAATCGGGCTAGCTGTGGCTCCTGCAGTTGCATCATGTGACACAGGGGCATGATCCAGATGGTACAAATGGGCAACAGCACAGATTTCACCAAGGGAAGGGGAGAGAAAGCACTTTGCAGAGGCAGCCGTGAAAGCAAATCAGATGCAACGACCCAAGCACACGTGCCTGACATTTGGAAGAAGTTTTTAATGGTGTGATCGTCTCCACTAGTCAGCCTGGCAGAGTGGTGTTGTTCCACTTGTGCTGGACATGATACAGTTGAAGTTCTGTCGGCTCAAGCTCTACTGGCATGCAGTCAAACTAGATGACCCTTTGAGGTCTATGACTCTAAGCCATGTTTATCTACCTATATGTTTATATAAAAAAATACAGACATGCAACCCATTGAAAGTAATAAAGCAGGTAAGTAATGCACATTAACCCCACTCATCTGCTCAAGAACAGTCTTGCAAACACATCTAACTTAGCTCTGGCTTTGGCAAGTCTACCTGGAAAGAGTTCAATAGTAATACATCAGCCACCACAAATAATACTCTGCATGTGTTTGATGTCTTTTCTGGTTTGGTACAGAGATCATTAGCTGGGCATTCTCAGCTTATTGAAGAGATCATTGTACTGTAATTGCATATATTACTGTCTGTAATATATGCAAAACGCAAGATGTTTAGGGCTTTCTAGGCATCTTGGATTAGCCCCAGAAGACAACAGGAAATCAAGGTAGACAATGGAGAATAGATATGGCACCCAGCTTCCTTATTCTTGAAACATCAAGGCAGCCCTTCACAGAATGTGCTACAGCAGTCAAGCCTCTAGATTACAAAAGCATGAACAACAGATACATGGGCTGAAAGACACATCATCTTCTGAGAAAGTAAAGTAATTAAAAAAATATTCCCACAACCATCATGGCAGCTGAATGTCCAAGGTCCAAAGCTGCAAACCTGTGAGATCTAGTTTCGGTGCTGATCACAATCCATCATTGAATCCTGCAGCCAGTTAAGGGTGTAATTTTTTGCTGTGTGTGTGTGTTTTTAAGCTTGTATTCTACAAAGTGTCTCCAGACAACACAATGTTTCCCCAAGGAATTGCAGCTCATGAGTCATGTCTTGTCCAAACTATTCAATGCCGCACAATATTCAGCAGTACAAAACAAATCAGAAAAGCCCTTTAATCTGGCACTCACACCCCACTAGAAAATGGCATCTTAGAATGGTGTAGTCAGAAGGGAATCTTCCACCAGGAAACAAATCTTCATACATCTTCTTTGTAAAAAAAATAAAAAAAATCCTCCAGGGGATAATAAAGATTCTGGGCACAGACAAAGCCAGACTCCGCGCACAGCTAATTAAGGGGCAAATTTAGCTTTCAGATGCATAATCTCAATTCTTGAGCTTTCCAGTTCTCTCCGAGTGAGCAATTAGTTCTTTCCTGCACAAGATCCATCATATTTGACTCAGATTTGGGGCAGAAGGTCCCCTTTCCTCCTGGGGGCTGGGCTTCATCAGCTGCAGCACCTGGGTGAAACCACTGACATCATTCGGAAATGTGCAGCTGTGATGCTTCTGCGAATGAATGTGTTTTCTTAAGTGCCACTGCCGCCATTTTCTGTGGATCTCCTGCTGGACCTAAACAAAACATTATGGGGTCAACATGCAAATAAGAAGAACACGTATTTTGATTTTTAGTACATTACAATCTATGGGAAACTCACCTCTCCGTTAAGAAAACAGTAAAGCACAGCCACAGCAAAGCCCTGAGAACAAAAGAGGCCCGTGTCAGTCATGAGATATACAACTGGAAATGGCAGGTCGGCACTCCAGAATAAATATAGAAGCAAGAAAAAGCTCATGTAGACCTTCCAGGCACGCAGTGTGCTGCCAGATGTGAAGAAAAGACAGAGTGACTTACAGAGCAATCTAAACTAGGGCCAGAGAAGAGTGGTCTGTCTACTACTGCATCCCAAGTCCTGCCACCACAAACTAGTCTGGGGCAAGAGGTGCAGGGGGGGGATCGCACGCACGTGGGGCGCCCCCCAAAGGGCTCAGCCCCTTGAAGCTAGTGCCCCTGGTCAGGGCAGAAGGTGGTGGTGGGATTTCCACCATACCACTCCCACGAGCTCCAGGATTAGAAAGCTGGAGCAGCTTTGGAACCAGTGATCCATGGTCAGCTCTGCTCTATCCCTGCCCCATAACACCCCATTTCGGGGGCCCATGCTGGTTAACCACCTGTGCGAACGCTGCCATGCGTAGCGTCTCAAGTTCAATGCTTTCTGCTACCACAGCAAGTGTGGCAGCAGAGGTCACCTGTGTCATATGTTAAGCCCCTCCAGCGGCAAAGATCCATGGGTTAGGATTGGATTGTTACACTAGGAGAAATTATATATTTTGTTGGACCAATTGGATATTTTAGCAGTTGCAGTGTTTTCAAACTCACGCAGGTCCTTCTTGCAACAAGGGCATTCTGAGAAGAAAGTGAGGCATGGGGCAAGATGGAACAGGTCCTTGTTACAAAGAGGGTCCTGCAAGGTGACATGAGAAATACTGGACTTTATTCCTAAAGCAGGCACGGCTAAACCCGTTTGGGTTAGGGACTCACCTGCCCTCTCCCACTTTATGAGCTGCCCAAGACCCAACAATTATGTTGGTGAAAGGTGGGGGAGAATCGACAGCACTGGGATGGGCAGAGACCAAACCCTGATAGGGATAAAGAAAAGTTCCCTCCCCAGTCATCTAATCCAGTGTTTCCCAACCTTGTGCCTCCAGCTGTTTTTGGACTACAATTCCCATCATCCCTTGCCACTGGTCTTGCTAGTCATGGATGATGGGAGTTGTAGTTCAAAAACAGCTGGAGGCACAAGGTTGGGAAACACTGATCTAATCAACCACTTGACCAGTGGAAAGAAGGTAATAACCTGTCCTCCTCAGTTGATCTGCCCAGGTCTGGGAGGAGGGGGCTGTGTGCCAATGTCCATGTCTGTTTGTGTTTGTTCACACTCTCTGTGTATGTAAAAGTATGAATGAGAGAGAGTGGTGCAACCATATCCACCACTGGCATGCAACCTACAAAAGATTTGCCAAGTGTTAATGTGGCACCTGGGCCAAAAAAAAAAAAAAAAGCATTAGACAATAACCACCCCTGTCCTAGTTACCTAAGAATTCCAGTTACCTCTTTGCATCCTGTTTGCTCTAGACACCCAGGGGCCTGGAAAACATTAAGGAGGTTTGCCAAAACGGCCTGTTTGGATTGCAAAAGACGGGTGGGGCTTCTTTCATCTGAAGATGATGAAGACCTTCAAGGAACAGATTACCTGGAAAGATCCGATGGCTTTTTCAAACAGAGCTTGAATCTCCATGGTGCCGTTTGTGGTATCGAAAGGGAAGAAAGCAAATATGATGTAATGGACTCCAAAGAGAGGGATGAGGATGAGTGTGGATTTAGCAAGTCTCCTAGGAGTAAAGACAGAGATAACAGAACAAAACAGAAATGAAGAAACGGCCTAAAGAGGGTGAGCTTCATATTGATCTCAGTTTGTAGGCAGAACTATCCCCTCCAGTAGCAACAGCAGAAAACGCAAAGGGGAGTTTCAGGGGCAGTGCAGGTCTGCCTTTAAAGATCAGCAATCTCACTAGCGCCAGACAACAGGTCACAGGGTCTAGGTCCCAGAAGTCCCTGCAGCTTCTGTTTTTTTATATATTGGCAGCAGGCACCATGGACATCCTCCATGAATCTATCTAAGCTCCCTTTAAAGCTCCCTAAGTTAATGGCTATCGTCGTCACATCTTCTTGAAGTGAATTCCATAGTTTAAACTCTGTGCTTTGTGAAGAAGTACTTCATTTTCTCTCTCCTAAATCACCTACCTCTTCAGTTTCAAGGGATGGCCCTTAACCGAAGTACAGTGGTACCTCAGAAGTCTAACGGAATCTGTTCCAGAAGTCTGTTCGACTTCCAAAACATTCGGAAACCAAGGTGCAGCTTCCGATTGGTTGCAGGAAGCTCCTGCAGCCAACTGGAAGCCAAAGAAGCCTCATCGGACGTTCAGTTTCCAAAGAACGTTCGCAAACTAGAACGCTCACTTCTGGGTTTGCGGCATCTGGGAGCCAAAACAGACGAGTACCAAGGCATTCAACAACCAAGGTTGTTGTATTACAAGAGAGGGAAGGGGGATTTTCTCCATTGGCTTTCAACAGACTACGCTCAGGGCTTTGCATCCAGATTTGTGCTCTGTTGCTGCTACTATAGATGGGGATAAGATCTTTCCAAAAGGAGCACAAGCAGACCTGGAGGCACTTTATTGGGGTGGGTGTCCTTGAGGCAGCTAATCAGACAAGTTTATCTGGGTGATACATATCTTTGCATATATTTGCAGGCAAACAGGTAAAACATCTGTGCACAGGTATCTCTTGCTGTTGTGCTTATGTGTGAGGCTGAGGGGTTTTTTGTTTTTTGTTTTAAGCTGTCTTACTTGTATTGACTGGAATCCTTGTTCCTTCCATCTGGCCATCTAAGTTTGCTCATTAGAATCCTCACAATATTAACAAACAAAACGAAATTGATCTGCAAAGAGAATGAAAAGGTGGCATTGACATTCACATATTTGAAAGACACGCATCAAATTTACTCTCTTCAGTTCGATCTTCATCTCAGAAATGGGCTGTGAAATGGACTTACAGCAATAGCATGAATTTGTTTATTACGGCCACAGACGAATAACATTTGGTACAAAAATAGAAGAGGCATTGTAATTCAGACTTACAACAATAGAAACTACCACAGGGCCTTGAATGAGCCACCGGGCATATGTAAGATGAGTATCCCAGCATCTGTAAGATAGCAAAATTCATTCATTGTGCTTTTCAGGTCAACAAATGCCAGCGAGCATCATGTTAGCAATATTTGGCTTCAAAGGAAAAATATCGCAAGGCAACATGCCCAGCAGATAAGAGCTGGCATCCATCCTGGCCTTTCAAATTATACCGGGTGGATGAAACTATTAGAATACTCAAGTGTGCAGAAAACAAGCAGGAAAAGCAGAAGAATACATTTGCATTTTACTGTGAGTCATGATTCAGTGGAGCTCAACAAATCGGCAATGCCCTAGTCGCCATCCTTTTTCAACTTGATGCCCTTCTTCGCCACTCCCATCAGCCCCGTCCAGCCTGGCCAATGGGCACAGCACGATGGGAGTTGTAGTCCAAAGCACCCCCAGGGTGGGGAAGTGTACCCTGGTCTAGGGGTGGGGAGGAGCGGGATCCATCCAGACCCTGATCAGCCTCAACCTGGTAAGGGAAGTCCCAATGGTGTCAGGTGACCCATTTTTGTCTGTGCATTTTGAAATCAAACTGTGCAGGCAAAGGCACGACACTATGCATGCAAGCCCTGAGGATCAGCTGATTGTCTGGGCTTGCATAGCCCTGTGGTGACTGCAGGCAGCCTTTCTGCCCAGCTGCATCTTTACCTGCCACACAGCTGACCTCACACAGGACATCAGATGTGCAGCAGGAGGATGCTGCTGGGCTAAAACAGCCTTGTGGTTCTGGAGGGCCCCAGGCTAAGTAAGAAGACCAGGGCTGAGGTGAGGGCTGGCTGAGGACAGACTGAGGTTAGTAGAGTCTCATAGAGCAGCCTCTACAGCTTCACCTGGCTCTCACTATAACCAGGACTACTTTTCTTGAAAAAGAGGTGCTGTGATCGCCTCCCTCATTCCCTTAGAATGGCAATGGCGCCCACCTGAGAGGTGCTGGAACTGAGTTCTGACAAGTTCTGGCTGGGGAAAAAAGCCTTGACTATAACACAGGTATATATGGCTGCTGGCCTGAAAGATTTTTACTTCTGATACCGTATTCCAACCCCAGTCAAACGTCAAAGTCCAGAGGCCTCGCAGCAATGCAGCTGAGTCAGCTTCTTATCCTTTGACTTGAGGTTCCGAAAACACTTCCTTGTTTTTCAAGATAATATTGTGTTTTCGTTTAGCACGGTCTTTGCAACGAGAAAACAACAGCACTTCACAAACAACGCAACTCCCCCTGCTGGATGAGAAATGATCATAATCAAATTAACGCATATGCAACAATACGTTTTTTTAAAAAAGAAGTGTTTAAGGTACCACAATAATCTGTGTTGTTTTTTGATGCAACAGGCGAGGAACAGCTGCCCTTCTGGAATTTATTATCACAATAACTGCAGATACAAGCTGCTTCCCCTCTTGCCATTTTAATACAGAGAGCTCCTGACAATGAGAGTCTTTCATAAATGCCCTGCTGCTGCTGCTGCTATGTGATGTTCAGATGAAAACTCTGCCTATTTTCTTTTATTGATAATAATAAAAGTATGAGTTCTAGATGGCAAATGAAGGCTACAAATGGTTCTTGGAACGGAACAAAAGACATAAACATGGTTTGGAACCAGATTAACTGACCTGACTTCCCCAGCATAGAATGATGGCGATTGCTTGAGACAATATATGCCTGGGCAGTGGGAGATGGCAAAGAGAAAAGAACGGATTCTGTTTTCACAAGGACGCTGCAGATATTTTTATACTGGCCAGGCACTTGTATAATGGGATACACACTATTTTTAGGTGTGGTTTGATCAGTATTAATTGCAACTGAACTGCTACTGTTATTCTCTTCTTTTCTCAGTGTTTCAGAATATTGCAAGAAAATAGGATTGCAGCCATTTGAAACCAGCTGTCAAAGGTTCTATGGGGACACAGCTGAGGCAATGCTAATAAATACAGAGCATGGAAAGATGTAATGGAAGCACAACTTACCCAACATTTTCATGTAATAGTCTGGCCGTGACCCATGCAATTGCAAAGAAAGTTGGAGTGCCTGCAGTAAAGAAAAAAAGAGGACCCCACCCCCCGGTCAACCCTTAAGGCTTTTCCATACTTCCTCTTCTCCCGCTCCTTTCGCCCACAGCAAAAACCACTCTTTAGTGCTCAGTTGGAGCAAATAGCAATTCAGGTGTTTTGCGGATTGCCCTTTGTTCCAACTTAGAGCTAAAGACTAAGCGGAAGTGTGGGAAAGCCCTTAATCATACAACGCACAAGAAATCATAGCATTGTAGAGTTGGAAGGGACCCTGAGGATTATCTGGCCTGCAAAGCAGGAATATGCAGCTATCCCATCACCAGCTAAATGAATATTTTGACGCATAATAGCAAACTCCTGTGGTTCTGTGCCAATCAATTTGAAGCAAAATGGGAACAACCACAAACCAAAGAGAAGTTCCCCTGATACAGTGGTACCTTGGGTTAAGAACTTAATTCGTTCTGGAGGTCTGTTCTTAACCTGAAACTGTTCTTAACCTGAAGCACCACTTTGGCTAATGGGGCCTCCTGCTGCCGCTGCACTGCCACTGCACGATTTCTGTTCTCATCCTGAAGCAAAGTTCTTAACCCGAGGTACTATTTCTGGGTTAGTGGAGTCTGTAACCTGAAGCGTATGTAACCCGAGGTACCACTGTATACCCAGGGGGATATGAAGCTATACACAAGCACATGTTTCAGTTCAGTTGTCCCCAACTCAAAAGGGAACAACAACAAAAAAGAGCCTGTGGAAAACTGGCTGCTGAGGACTATGCATGCATATTATTGGCTTCTTTGAAATGTTTTTGTTACCTCAGCTGTGTAAGCAATACATTCTGCCCCCGCAAACCCTGCTCCATCACACACCTCAAAGCTGTGCAAAGGATAGCGAGAGACAAAAGGAAAGCGGCGAGTGGGGAGGCAAGAGGAGGAATAGAGGGAGGGGAAGCATCGAAAGAAGCAATGTAGTAAAGAGGATGAAAGAAAGAGGAATAAAGCAGGAAGCAAGAGCAGGGAATGAAGATGAGGGAGCCAGAGCCTGTGTACACACCACACGTTTAAAGGACATGACTTCCCCCAAAGGATTCTGGGAACAGGAGCTTGTTAAGAGTGCTAGGAATTGTAGCTACAGCTCCCAGGATTCTTTGCGGGAAGCCTTGTGCTTTAAAGTTGTGGTGCCAGAGATGGAGTGAGACAGGAAGTGAGAGACACACCAAATGAGGGTAAGCAAAGAAGAGTGCAGGAAGGCAAGGGAAGCAGAGCAAGGACTGAAATGGAGTCACTGGGGGATAATACTGTGCAGCATTCTGTTGCGGCTCCCCCACTGGTGTCAACTGGTACTTACCCCATCCCAGAACCACAAACCACCAGAAGAACTTTCTTTCGGAGAAGAAAGACATCACCAGCAAGGTATGAAGATAAAGCCCTTCCACAAGAAGCCAGCTGTAGTTAGCCATGATACAGAAGTTAATGAAGACCATGATAATCTTACATCGGCCCTGAGGAAAGAGGAAGAGAAGCTAAACAGCATGTGCTTTGTCTCCCTTCCCTAGGCATTTCACAGTCCTGCTTCCGAGCTTCACCTTGCTGTGTCATGCTTTATTTATCACCGGTGTAAAAGTCGGGTTGTGGTTGTTACAATTACTACACTCATTTTTGTCATTCTCAGTGTAGATTTTGAGTGATACACAACTAAATCACACACAGAATAGACCTGTGGGAATCAATGGACTGAAGTTGCTTAAATCCATTTATTTTAATGGGTCTGTTCTGAGTATGATATCATGGGATATAAGTCGCTGTTACCCATGTATTTTATGTATTGGTTTGGATTGTTTTATTTCTACCACTAGCATCCATGTTTAAATGTATGCTGTATTCTTTTTTTAAAAAAAATGATGTAAAAGATTCAAAACATTATCTTTTAAAATCAACAAGTCTGCAACAAATTATTATTGTTCAAGTCCTGAACCGTTTTCCCATTTTCAAACCTACTGCCAATCACAGAGGTTCACATTCACTCCCTTGTGAAATCTTGATAAGAGCTGATTAATGCACTTCAATTCATTTCCTCGTAAAGTGCCATGATGCCACACGACACGTTATCCAAATTGTGTTTAAACACGTTTTGCTCTTTGGTTTCTTTGGCCTTGTGATTATTTCTTTCATTTAGTTTGAACATCCACCCCTTGTGGTTGTGGTATTCATAAAACCAAAGAACAACTAAATATATAAACAATATATTATTTATGTTCAGACCATACATACATACATACACAAACAAGCAGATGAACAGCACACTCCTTGGCATTTTTTAAAGGTAAAGGTACCCCTGCCCGTACGGGCCAGTCTTGCCAGACTCTAGGGTTGTGTGCCCATCTCACTCAAGAGGCCGGGGGCCAGCGCTGTCTGGAGACACTTCCGGGTCACGTGGCCAGCGTGACAAGCTACATCTGGCGAGCCAGAGCCGCACACGGAAACGCCGTTTACCTTCCCGCTAGTAAGCGGTCCCTATTTATCTACTTGCACCCGGGGGTGCTTTCGAACTGCTAGGTTGGCAGGCGCTGGGACCCAACGACGGGAGCGCACCCTGCCGCAGGGATTCGAACCGCCGACCTTTCGATCGGCAAGCCCTAGGCTCTGAGGCTTTTATCCACAGCGCCACCTGCGTCCCTGCATTTTTTACTCATAGGTAAATCCTCAGTTTTCAATGGGTCTGCACCAGGGAAGTTCACATAAGCTTGCACTTCAAGTCTGCCATTTTCTCTGACAAAATGGCTCACAGGGATGGAAAGGAAATGTAATTCTCAGGCACCTTTCTTCAACCTGTGATGAGCTGGATGGTAGGCCATATTTATAGGCTTCTTCCTTACCATGTGTAACTCACAGTAGACTGCATTGTCAGTGTCTTCAGACAGGGCAGGATCTCTGATGAAGTTTGCCAAAGCTCGCAAAATGAACGATGCAAAGAGCTGCATGTGGATGCAATTTCTCGTACAGCGAAGCCTTCTGTAGCCCAAAGAGAAAAGCATCAAGACGCTTTCTAAACAAGGAACTGCTTGGGTTTCTTATCAGACATATGAACAGATCTTACACCATCTAAAGCAGAATCAGACTATTGATCCATCAAACCCATCTGCTCATGGGTGTAGCCAGGATTGGGGGGGGGGGGGCAGAACTGACATGATTGGTCAGTTAGTTAAGTATTTCTATGGTTTTACTTGATCTGGGGGGGGGAGCTACCCTTCTGCCCCCCCCCCTGGCCACACCCATGTATCTGCTCTGACAGGAAACTGCTTCTCCAAGATCTCAGTCCTGGAGATCTCAGTCTTGCTACTTGAAGTCACTGAGGATTAAATATAGGGCCTCATGGATACAAGGCAAAGTGTGCTACCACTCAGCAATGGTCATTCAAATCAACAGGAATCTCATCAGTACTCTGCAACCATCCAATACCATTGCCTGATCTGATAGCATCATGAAGCAAAACTGACGCATTGATGGTAAAACTGAGAATTGTTGGACTGAAGATCATCTTTCCCACAACACTAGGGTGAGGAACTTGTGACCCTCTGGATGTTTCCGGAGTAGACCTCCCTGACTCTTGGCCATGCTGGCTGGGGCTGATGGGAGCTAGAGTCCTACAGCATCTTGACAACTGTGGGTTGCACCCCTGCTTTAATAGAAAGGCAAAAGAACTAATAAAAGGGCAATAAAAAGGGGGGATGCTGTCATTGCTTCTTTGCCAGGCTTCATCAGATCCACCTGAAAAACTTATCCAATGAGCAGGATATCCACCTAACATACAGATCGTCTTCCCAAATCCACAGCTTAAGTTTTAAAACTTAAGTTTTTTCTTCTACCCACTTGAATATACACTTCTGCCTGTTGACGTTTGAACAGAATGTACACTTCCCCACTGTTACTGTGCAAAACAGGAAGCCCTTTCAGAATGAATATCTGACGAAAGATCAATGGAACGGCTTTTGAAATAACACTTTATTTCACTATTCATTTGGGGTTGTTTTTTTTCCACAGATTAACCAGGAAGTAGAAACAAATACAGTGGTGCCCCACAAGACGAATGCCTCACAAGACGAAAAACCCGCTAGACGAAAGGGTTTTCCATTTTTCGATGCGCTTCGCAAGATGAATTTCCCTATGGGCTTGCTTCGCAAGACGAAAACGTCTTGCGAGTCTTGCGATTTTTTTCGCTCCCCCCCTTTTTCTAAGCCGCTAAGCCGCTAATAGCCTTTTAGCCGCTAAGCCTTTAATAGCCGCTAAACCGCTAATAGGGTTGCTTCGCAAGACGAAAAAACCGCTAGACGAAGAGACTCGCGGAACGGATTATTTTCGTCTTGCGAGGCACCACTGTATTTAAAAAGGAATGAATAATTCTTCTTCACCTGAAAGAACCCAGAATGCCCAAGGCAATTGTCAGCACCACCAGAGAAGCGCTGGTTCCGATGGTGTACACAATCTCCAACTTCCTCAGGTAAGAGACCTGTCAAGAAACAACCAGGTACACTCAGTCCAGGCAGAGATGTGAATGTGTAGGAAACCCACTTGTCTCAAAAGGAGTGACAACATGTCTTTTTTCAGAACATGTTGTCCCATAATTTGTTCTAAAAGCACTACCATGAACTAATTTGGCTTTGCCTGCAATCAGAGTGATTAGAAAACACTGCCCCAGGTAGAATTTGGCCAGATTTAAAATTTAGACACACACACACAAAAAAGCCCACAGAGGGTTGTAAGTGGTTGACAACATATTTAAATTGTTTTACCATTGTCTACAGGTTCAGTATTGATGTGCCAGAAATCAATGGCCTGGCAGTAGGCTTTGCTTCCATGTCAACTGCGCTTGTGTATAACTAGTCCCAACTGAGCGTCAGTCACTTAAAACAGACTGCTGTCCTATAACGAATTTTTGAAGGGAGAAAGGCTCTGTTTGTACTGTATTATGACTGAATAATACTATGTTTTGTCACCAGGTGGGGCTATTTGCAACACCTTTTCCTACTTTGCTCTTTAGTGCTGTGCTTCCAACCCGAGTAAGCCACTGGCGGATGATAAATGCATAGGATGAAGGCAGGTATCTAAAAGTGTGGTATAGGTGGCTTGAGCGCACTTTTTCTGCTGCAGAACGAAAACATATGTATTTACGATATTTCTATATCCCACCTTTCTATGCCAATCTAAAAACAAGTGCAATAAAAGTACAGCCTAAAAACAAAACAAACTACGAAGCAAAGTCAACAGCGGCTAAAATCAAACAAGCAGCAGTTTTAAAAGCACAACAGAAGACAGAGCCATGGAACTGGATTCTCCTCCTCTCCTCTGGCTCCAGTTTTTGAATATCAGCAGGAACCTCATCCAGAGTTATCAGGAAATGATACAGATCCAAAAGAGTCTGGTGAGAGGATATCCTAATGGGTTTTCCACCTGTGGCTTAGAGGGTCAATCTAAACAAGCAGAAATACCCAGGAATACAGGGAATGTGTGCTCAAACCACTTCCACCCCACTTCTGATGCTTCCAGATGACCTGCCCGTTGAGCATTCATCCTGGTTTGTTTGCAGGAAGGTAAGATGGCATTGCTTTAAGGCGAATGTCATCCCACATTGCCCAGTGAATTTCTCCTTCACTTTCCTTATCACAAAAGGTCATGTTTTGGGGAAGCAGGTTTATTGTGAAAGACCTTCCAATCAACTATAATTGCCCAACCTGAATTTTCAGTATTGAATTCCACCCAAAAACAGCAACCGTTTGAAAGTGCCCATAGGATACTGTACTGATTATTTGAACTTACCCTACGTTGCCACGCAACTATAGGAGCATTAATCTCTTCCACATTTAAACCACAAGCAATATAGGGTCTTGGATATTTTTCTGACCAGCCATCCTTGGTGCAGTTACGATATATAAACCCTTGGTTTGCAATGACAGAAACAAAATAAGTCATACAGTTAGTAGTTGCAATTAGCACTGGTGAAAGCAGCTATTATACAGTAAATACACATTCAAGGCCACATGGTGGAGTCTGGAAGTTTTTGCTTCCCTTTTAGATTACCTGCAGCTTGCTGTGATGTCAGAACCCGGGCAAATTGTGGTTCATCTTAACTATGGTTTGCTGAAACAAGCCAATTTCAAACTGTAGTTTATGAAGCTGGCTTGTTTCAGCAAAGCATTTTCAAGATTAGCCATTAGTGGAGCAGAAAATTGTTTACTGTTCTTAAACCACGGACAAAAATAGCTGTATTCATTATGTTCCAAAGAGATGCATTAATCCTGTTATGTTTAAGAGCAATTAAGTGACTCTGTCTGAACACAGACATTCCTGCTTCTGTCTCTGTTTTACTTTTTTGTTCTACAAGGAATAAAGTTCATTGTTGGCACCATAAAAATAAATGGTTCCCAACAATGAAAACATCATTTCAGGATTGCAAGTGTGGAGATATATCACACAACTGGTTACACTTACGCTGTGGTTGTTATGGCATGCTGTGAACCATAAAGCACCAGCATCAGTCACCTATAGTATAATAAATGGTATGCAGTTAAATCCTAAGTGTATTAATTAGAAGTAAGTCTCACTATGTTCAATGAGACTGACTCCTTTCTAAGTTGTTTAAAATGTAACTGATTGATCAGGGCCAAGGTGAGGTGATCACCTTGGGCAGCAGGATCCACTGGGGCAGCATATCTGGCCTCCAAGGAACACATCACATATAGATTTTTATTCCTTCCTGGTTCCTGATACAGAGCTTCTCATACTCTTCCCGCTTCTTCCCTGACAAGTAGGCTGGGGTGCCATTTTGTGGTTCACGTCTGGTACCAAAATGTCTTGGGGCAACGCTGTGATTGATCAATATGTATTTGCAGGTTTTCTTATCACCCTTCATCATTAAAGCAATCAAGCCCAGAGCAAGCATAACAAATCAAAACAGCAAGGGGAAAAAGCCAAGAGCTGAGTTGTTTCAATTTTACCAGCTCCCTCTAGCGGCTGAGTTTTCCATCTGCAAGCAGCTGGTGGGAGAGGCTGTCCGTCTTCCCTGACCTGGTGCCCTCCAGCTGCTCTGGAACTAACAACTTCCATCCATCTTAGCCCCAGCCAGCAGGGCTAATTGGAGTTGTAGTCCAAAGCAGCTTTGCAGTGTTCCCAGCGATCAGGTGACAAGCTGCTCGCTGTCCCTTTTCCAGACCCTCTCAAGCAGGCTGTTAAGGTGCTGAATCATAACACCTGAATTGGGAGAGGCTATGCAGTCCTTAGATGCAGTGGTGAAGTGGATGAGGAAGAACCAGAAGAGCTTGAATCCTGGCAAGAAAGGGGCTCTGTGGCTAAGTGATTCCTGTCACCTCTACAGCTCTACAGCTCCATGCTCTGGGGAGCAGTTGCAGCAACAGAGGACCACTCCTCCTCTGCCAGTTTATGTACCTTCCTCTGCCGGACTGCATACATGCAGCTGGAGACTGTGCTTGCATGGAAACTTCCTCTGCTCATCCCTTTTCAATTCCCTCCTGGTTCTGGGAGACAGGATATTGTGGGGAAGCAGGTGGGCCCTTCCCTTGCCTGACCTGCCTCTTCTTCCAACCCATCTGGTGCTCCACCAGCCTCTGATTATTGCCTCCTGGCAGGTCCCCACAAACCACTGCCCCCCTCTCCCGAGTCAGACTCCACCCGCCCCCTGCCCTGATACACCCTTGCCAGTCCCAGGAAGGGTCTTCTGGATCCAGCATTGTCGATGGAGGCTCAGGTAACCTTGGTGGCTAGAAGCACCTTTCTGCAGCTGCAACTGGTACAACTGCTACAACTGTTCCTGCACCAGGAAAACGTAGCCACAGTAGTTCGCGCATTGGTTACTTCAAGACTGGGCTACTGCAATGCACTCTATGTGGGGCTTCCCTTGAGCTTGATCCGGAAGCTGCAGTTAATGCAGAATGGTGCGACGTGATGCTGACAGGAGTGAGTCCTTGTCTGCATAGAACACCTGTGCTCAGAGACCTGCACTGGTTGCCAATTTGCTGCTGGGTCAAGTTCAAGGTGTTACTATTAGAATATAAAGCCCTTAAGAGCCAGTTTACCTTACCCTATATGTCCACTCAACTGCTGCAATCTGCAGAACTGGCACTGCAAAGGTGCCACATAACACCCATTTGTAGCAAATCAGTATTTTAGGGTGGCAGCTACTACTATTTAGAACTCCCCATCCATTAACATCAGGCAGGCACCTTCAATTTACTGTACTCTTTTCGGTGCCTGCTAAAAACATCCCCCCCCCAGAGAAGCCTACCCAAATATGCAGAATGTTTACATGTTTTTAGCTTATCGCTGATCTTAATCACCATCCAAAGCAACCCTTCACTATGGCTCCATGAAAACACGACAGAACAAATACATCAGGCAGGAGCCGTCTTTCCTTGTTTATATTATGCTTCGTTTTTATTCCCGTGGACCAGAAGGGGAAATTACCACTTCTATCTGTGTGTTTATAGATCCATATCTATATCTATATGAACAAGCAGTTTCCTCAGAAGCACTCTGCGGGCAGCCCATTATGTTTCTCATTTTGCAGATAGGAAGCCTAAAAAGTTTCATTGTCGGGATCTGAGCCCTGATCTTGGTCCAAATTCTCTCCATGTGTGGCACAAGAACATGAGAAGATGATTCAGGCTACAGATCCATCTGAATCACCATCCTGCTGCACACAGTGGCTAACCAGGTGCCTCTGGGAACCCTACAAGCAGGAGATGAAGGCAACAGCCCTCTTTCCCATTCTGGCTCCCCAGCAGCTGTTCAGTGCCATACTGCCTATGAATCCAGAGATTATGTATACAACCACCACAACCAGTTGCCCATGATAGATGGTGGATTAGTCTAGGAATGACATTTTTAAAAATCCAAATAGGTTGTGCCACTTGTCAAATTCTGCTTGACGTCACAGAAAGAAAAGGCCAACGTAACATTTACAGAATTTACACTCTGGTCCTAATGGGATCCTGGAGAGGAATTTACTGTTCACCTGCTCGCCTGGGGTGAACAGCAAATGCCCCACAGGGGAATAGGCAAGGAGCAAATGCAGAAACCTGCTATGCCTCCTGATGCCAATCAGCTTATGGGACGTCCAGCAACATCCATTAAGCCAAGCCCCAGAAGGGCTCTTGGTCTGTGACCTGACTTTCTACCTCTTTCTTTTTTTCTTTTGTGATCCTTGGATGAAGGGTGGTATATAAATTTAATTAGTAATAGTAATGATAATTCTGTGCAAGGCTAAGATAGCAGCATCAGACGTTTCTGGAAGCAGCTCCTAGATTCTAGGTAAGATTCTACTTTCCCTAGAAAAACAGTACATGACAAACCATATTCTAGCCTGTGTTACACTGAGGACTTAGCCTTTAATCCTTGACAGGGTACAGGGAAAGCCTGGCATCAGGCAGTGCCTATGGAAGTGTTATGTTTTAAGTTTTACCTGTTTTCCCAGTTACCATTTGGAAGGCTTTGGGGCAAGGAACGCTAACTGTTTGCCCAATGGAAGAAGACAGCCAGCAGGTTATATTATCCCACATTCCAAGGCATCTGTCTAGGAGTCAAGAAGAACAACAAAAGTTACATACCTCACGCCATCCAGACGAGGAAGAGGAATTATCACATTCTGACCCCCAGGCCTGAGGTTCCTCAACCCTGCTTTAAGTACATTTCTACTCCTCATTTTCCATTTGTTACACCTATAGTGGAAATGATCAGTATCTTATCTTCTGGGAAAGCTTGTGGCTTCTCTAGGGCTGTCACAAATTGTGATGGAAACTCAAAGTTTAAAACTCCCAGATTTGTGCAGGCATTAGCGATCATTTTTCACACACACACACACACACACACACACACACACACACTTCTGTCCAGAGCAGCTTTTCCTCTATTGAGGCTCCCTGCTTCTGATGGATTAGCTGGAAAATCAGTTTGTCTGATTCTCTGAGCAAACCCCAGAATTTTGGCCATCAGTGCTTGAAATGATGTGGAGGGGCTAGATGGCAGCTCTACTCACTGCAAACTAATCTGAGCAGCCCACTTGGCATCATCTAGGCACTGCAGGGGCTACAAGGAAGGGAAAAACCTACCATGTATCACGCAGCAATGCCTGATGTATAAACAGCGCTTCGTATCATTCCCTCTGCTGCCACCACCACCACCACCCGACGCTACAGGTGTTTTCCAGCTGGTGCAAAAATACAAAGGGCTCCTTTTATTTATTCTGAATCTTCACATGCTCATACTTTGTTTTAGACTACTTGGGTCTGCTTCATGTGGAGCCCAGACACCACAGGAATTGGCAGCCTACAGGCATCCATTAGCTAAGCCAAGTGGGCATTAATCAGGCAGTTCCAGGAGCATTTGAGAAGGAAACTGTGATGAGCGTGCTGGGAAAAGGGAGGAGAAGTGATCTTGTTCAATTGTATACTGTTATGCCCCATATACATATCTTCTGGAGTAGGCATTTGGCATTCCTAACAGAGGACCCCCGTGATGCCAATGGCATATAGAGATAAAGCGTAGTTTGGGGGGGGGCAGATAGATGACAGACAGGGCCATTAATGTCAAAGGTTCCCACAGACCCACTGGATGGCTATCACCAGACTTCACCTCACTGATAAACAGGAAGGGCAAGGACACTGTGTTGTTTATTTAAGAAATGACTATATTAATAAAATGTCATTAATCAAGACCAGGAGGAAACAGATCAATACTACCTTTCAGCCAGCCATTGTTCTGAAATCTCTTTCCCAGAAGTCAACCATTCCCTATCCCACCTGAAACATGCACACCCACATTCACTCACCCAGGTCTCTGTAGACACCATAGTAGGGGAAAATATTTTAGTCTAGCTACTAAATACAATACAGTGGTACCTCAGGTTAAGTACTTAATTCGTTCCAGAGGTCCGTTCTTAACCTGAAACTGTTCTTAACCTGAATCACCATATTAGCTAATGGGGCCTCCTGCTGCCGCCGCGCCGCCGGAGCACGATTTCTGTTCTCATCCTGAAGCAAAGTTCTTAACCTGAAGCACTATTTCTGGGTTAGCGGTGTCTGTAACCTGAAGCGTATGTAACCTGAAGTGTATGTAACCCGAGGTACCACTGTACTCTCTGAGCACACTAGATTTGATTCCATGCAACACTGAAATTTTTGAAACTGGAGCTTCCTTTTTCAAACATTATACAAGAAGCACAAAAGCAGGATGTGAGTGAAACGAGGCTGAAATTAGTCAAATTTTCTATCAAAAATGATGACGACAAAAAGAAACAGCTGCTTCTTCATTCCAGAATCCTTGATGCGTATCCTGGTATCTCTAATGACTGAGACTTTCCTAGCCTGCCATCTCTGTTTTGGAAATGAGTCCCACAAGTGAACCCATGCCTACAACATCAGCCTAATTTTTCCTTACGCGCATGCGCACACACCCACACCCCCACACCCAGAGTTTTACCTGAACTCTGGAGCGATTCATTTCCAGTTGTCGCATTCACTTCTTCCTTGGAGAGGACCAAGCTGCAGAGTTCTTCTTCTGTTGTCATAATTTTCATGATTTCACATGACGAAATAAAGGCTCTGACCTGCTAGTTGAGAAAGCATTTGTTCTTTTATTTGTCTGTAGCCAAACACACACCCTACAAAACATCCACATTAAGGTTTGTGGGCAGGTTACAGTTATAGAAATAGATGGATTCCTAACAGTGCAGCATGTTAAAATCGGAGAATGCCCTTTGAAGTTTTGCCTGCCCTTCTGAGCTCATTTTGAACTCACTAGAGCAGGAGTGGGGAATCTCGGGTCTGGGGATCAAATGCAGCCCCTCCAGGTCTCTGGCTCTGGTCCTTGGGGCTCTCCCAAGCCACTGATTTCAGTGGAAGCAGCTGAACTACACCAGTTTCATGTTGACAAAAAAAGTCTATGTCATCAGGGTTAGATTGCAAAGGGCTTAAGTCAGCTTCTTTCACTGAAAAGATATGTTCATGAATTAGAAGGAGTTTATACAAAAGCCACCCCAGATTAGCTTGACACGACCTGCAGCAGGTATAGCTGAAAGCACACTGGGGCTTTGTCCTACAACAGCGGGATATCCTTGTTTCCCCTTAGCACATATTTGATTTGCACTGCTTTGAGCAAATTCCATGCCATCTGCACATTTATCTAATGCTTTTAATCTAATGTACATTGTAAACTTGCATTAACACATCAGGTTACAATACCAAGGTAACCCAGCCAGTTCTTGAAAATGTGTGGGCAGGATTTGTTGGTCTGCTGCTCCTTCGATTGCCTTTCCAAAAAAAAAAAAAAATCTCTTTCAAATGAATGAACCCTTGCTGTTTGCCATTTGAACAATATCGGAACAGGATAACTATGCACACAAAAAAGAGAGAGAAGAAGAGGGGAAATCCCTCACAACTGGCAGCGGAAAAGGCAACCTAGACAGGAACAGCCCTGCTAAAATTCAGGATAACAAATGTGTGGAATTTCCATTCCCCCCCCCCCCGCTCTTTTCTTTTGTTCTTTTCTGCACACAGCAAATCAAAATGGGGCGAGTCTATTTCAGTCTTAACAAAGCCAGTCCTGCTCAGCTATAGCAACCATTCCAAAACTGACCAGTGTTAACTGCAGACAGCATACATTTCATCGATGTTAGAAAGGTCTCCAGTTAGCAGTGACAGACACAGGAAAGCAACAGGTAAACAGATTAAATGCTGCAAACAAGGCTACTGCTCTTATTGGGGTTTCATTTGAGCCTTGGCCCATAAAGAAGGGCTGGAAGTTGACTAAATAGATTGAAATAGATTATCTGTATGCATTTTGGTCAGCTCATTTCTTAAGTTTGCATAAATCTGCCTATAGGTTGAACATATCACCTCCTGATTAGGAATGTAGCCTAAATTTATTATTTATTTAAAAAATATTTACAACCTGCCTGCCTGTAATCTGTACAGTTTTAAAACATAAGCTGTTCAGATGGTCTGGACTGGTCCCTATGGCAAGTGCCAAAGAGGCTGTCGCACTCAGGGGGCAGTTTGAAGGGGTGGGATATATCTGATAGATTATAGAGGTGGCACACATAGTCCTCGGGTTTATTTTATTGCATTTTTAAGGGCTTCTTTCTTTTATTTGGCTGGTCATTTGAGCAATGACAGGAGGAAGGGAGATCCTCTCTTACCTGTCAGTCACTCAGCATGGAAATCATAATACTTATCCTAACTTATTTGTGACAGTACTTGACTCAAGGCGAAGATGGAAACACAGGAGGGAAGGTGCCCCTTTGCTTCACATTCCAGGGAAGCCTGGCGAAGAACAGGGGTGTAATCTAAAAACACACAAATTTGCAATTGCCTAAAACTAGGAAAGGGAGGGTAGGGTTCAAACTTTGCACAATCACACCTAGAAGGAAGGTGTACTCTTGGGCCCTCACTAGGAAAAGGAAGCAAAACTGTGGGGATGGTTGGCCTGCTCAACCACAACCATGGCTCATGACATTGGGCCTTATGTCAATGAACTATTACTCATCATGAACCATCACTCTTGGCTAGGAAAACTGAATTGACAGCCACACTCTCAACAGTCTTGACAACTAGCCTTGCATTTTAGAAGAGGGAGCTTTCTGGATGACAGCAAGTACAAAAAAAGGCTTCCTTTCTGTCTGCAGACATAGAATAGAGCTTGGAACCATCTTTGGTGGAAAAATGCCTCAGCAGGGTAGATAAAAGTAAAGGTACCCCTGCCCATACGGGCCAGTCTTGACAGACTCTAGGGTTGTGCGCTCATCTCACTCAAGAGGCCGGGAGCCGGCGCCGTCCGCAGACACTTCCGGGTCACGTGGCCAGTGTGACATCACTGCTCTGGCGAGCCAGCGCAGCACACGGGACGCCGTTTACCTTCCCACTATAAGGTGGTCCCTATTTATCTACTTGCACTTTAAGGGTGCTTTCGAACTGCTAGGTGGGCAGGAGCTGGGACCGAAAGACGGGAGCTTACCCCGCCGCGGGGATTTGAACCGCCGACCATACAATCGGCAAGTCCTAGGCACTGTAGTTTTACCCACAGATAGAGCATGTTAATCCCCTCACAGCCACCTGTGTGTCACTAGAAAGCCCTGTTACATGCTTTGAGAACTATGTGTCCAAGCTCTGAAATGGAAAATAAACCAGAATATATATATATATATATACACCAAGCCATGACCTAAAATAGTCTGATCGCTCTGTTTTGTTTCCAAACCAGATGAGTTCCAATGAGAGAGGGGGATTTTTACCTTGCCTTGTTGGATATAAACATGTCAGAAAATGTAAGCATATGCGTATTTTGGTCAGCTAGGATAGCTCAGTCGGTGGAGCATGAGATTCTTAATCTCAGGATCATGGCTTTGAGCCCCACGTTGGGCAAAATATTCCTGCATTGCAGAGGGTTGCACTAGATGACCTTTATGGTTCCTTCCAACTCTACAGTTCTATTATTCCAGCGTAATGGGTTCGGATGTTATTCAGCTTGAGTCTGCCATTCTAAATAACAAGGGGGCGCTTTAAAAAGTAGCTCAAGCAACATGACTGAAAAAGGTAAGGACACAGCTCTCCCGCAGGCAGCCAGGATTCCTTTATGGTTGTGTAAAAAAGGGTTAGCTAAGATAGCTCAGTGTTGGAAATGTGAGAAGGACAATGCTTTCCTGAAATATATGTTTGTACAGTGTTCTATAGTTATTAAGTTTTGGGAGAAGGTGCTGGACTGTGTAGCTATGACTGTGCAGAAAAAGTTACATCTTTCAGTGGCGAATATTCTATTGAACTATTTACCTACTGTATGGAAATTAAAAACAGGACAACAAAAATGGATCCTGCACGCCCTAATGGTGGCCAAGAGCTTGATATTGAAGAACTGGAAAAGTAAAGATATGATACCCTTTAATCAATGGGTTGGCGATGTGACATCACTCGCAACCTATGCACGGACTGCTTATAGGCGCAGACTCTGTTTCGATAAATATGATAACATCTGGAATGAGTTTATACAGAATGCAGTAGGCTATTAACATTTACCTAAGTATTAGGATAATAAGACTATAAGGGAGTATCTTCTTTTCCATGTGTGTTTGTGTGTGTATCACTTTTAGATATATTTTTGTTGTTCTTTTTCCCCCCTCACTTTTCCTTTTTTCTGTATCACTTTATATTTTATTGAAGTATTTTCAATTAAAACAAATAAATATATATATATTTGAAGTTATAGAGAGTAAGTGAGGCACAGCTGATGTTCTGTAGTGGATAAGCCTGTAAGACACAAGTCAAGAAGTCCTGCTTCAAATCTTGTTTCAGCAATGAATTCCCTCAGGGAAGCCACTGTCTTTTAGGATGCTTTCACATTACTGCCCAACTGGCTTCAATTGTGTCAGATTCGTTTCTGTCTGTGTACACACCAGGGGGCTTTCTCGTGCCTTTACTCCATGCAAATGTGTTCACAGCTACTTGTGTGATGTGAAACAGCACATCAAAGTTGTATAACAAAGTACAGGATGGATATGGATTTCGCACAGCATTCTATGAACACAGATTAGAAACCCAACACTGGAAATGCAGAGAGAGAACTGTAAATAAGAGGGTTAATGTATCCTTAATATCAGCCCCCCTCCCTGTATCTGCAGCAGTAAGAACTGCTGAGGTAATATAACACTGAATTGTTAGACCTCTAGGTTGTATGTGGTTGTGGTGAGTGCACACCACAAGAGAGATTTGAGTGGAATCACTCATTCAGTGCACCTATTATCCCAAGCAGCATGGCTAATCCATGCTCAGTCATGTGCCAATTTCCCATAATTTTGCAGATTGGGGTGGGGAGAGATCTAGGCTCTGCATAGGTTGTTTTTTATCTCAGGAAATCGGTGCCAAGTAGCTACTTCTTTTTACATCATATTTTAAACAAATGTAAGACGTTATAATCACAAAAGTTAAAGCCAACCTGTGGGAGTCATTGTTTCCTATTGCGACAACAGGTCTAGCTATGTTTTTAAGCTAAGCAACTTAATTGGCGGATATTTGTGTGTGAATATGAAAATCTGGTTATACAGGTCAAATAATACCCTTGTTTCCAAACTAATAGTCTGATACACTGTTGTACTTTGAGCAATAATTTTACCCAATCCTTAAATAATATTGGATACCTCATTTTTTAAATATTTGAAATGGATTGATTAAAAAAATGTTTAATTACAAACTCTATATATTTTAAATTTTGTTTTGGGTTTTTTTTAATGTTTTGCTCGTTTCCACATGACATTTATTCCTCTAGCCCCAACTGAACAACACTGCATTATGGAAACAAGCAAGCAAGAAATAAAATTTTGAACAGGTGTATGTCAACAAAGCTATTTATTTCTCATATAATTTAGTATATCAGTTACAATCAATAATGATTATATAAAACATAAGCAAATATGCTTTTAACCAGCAGCTGTCTCAATATGGTTTATGAAGATAAAGAAAGCAGCTGTCATAAAACTTACGTTTATAGACTGAACAAATCGGGAGACTATCCATTCAGCTAATCCCCTCTGCAGATGCACAGCACTTAAGCATTCTAGTCCCCATAGCACACCGAAACTATTTGAGGACAAGACTGTGCTACGTGGTCTGAAAAGTTTACTTTTCCACTGAGCACACCTTTAGGGAAAGAAACTTTTCCCAAGGAAAATCTCATGCATTCCTAAATTGAAGCTGCCCGTGTGAACGTGCTCCCCTAAAATAACTAAACTCTAATCTCCCTTCTAAAGCACACTTTTCCTATCCTCTCGCCGCTTTGCTGATGCATCAGAATGTTTTGTATGGGACATACAGGTTTTTAAGGAGTTTCATGTCCTCTCCTTGGGGAATGAAGCTCAGAATTTTTCCAGCTTTATCCCACAGTGCTTTGTTTATTCAATAAGAAAAATGCCTTGGTGTTCAGTAGGGCTTACTCTCACAGAATCGTATATATATATAGGATCATAGCCTTAGTGCATCAACCAGGCTCTCACAAATTTCTCCCCCTTTCCCTTTTCAGCAGATGGACTCTTCAGGTTTGCAGCCAAACAATAATACAAGGCTCTTTGGTTACTTACAGTTAGTGTCGAAGAAGAAAGGATTATTATTACGATGGTCCACATGTTCAGCTGTTGTCTGTCTCTTTCATCTCCCAGGTGCAGGATCAGAAGTCATTTCAATGGGCAATCCTCAGCAGGTTCTCTCAGTCTGTTTCCTTGGGTTCCTGAGCTCGCCTCATCTTTCGTCAGTGCTGTTGCTTCTGTTACTGAGTCCCAGGACGGCTCTTGCTGTCTCTTTGAAGCAGGATGCTTGACACACACACCTTGCACTGCAGGCAACTCTGCAGTCCATGCCCCAGGTATCTCCGTCACCCGTGCCCCCTTTCATTACTCATTGTTATCACTGCACTTGAGCAAGGAAAGGTCAATCTTTTACGTTCCCACGGTAAGGGCAGCAAGAAAAGTTCTGGCACAGATATCACAGGAGCAGGGGGGGGAGAGATAATTTAATATCCTGGAGACTGGAAGGAAGCAGGTGAGCACACAGGAAAAAAATCTAGTGGGATGGGGTGGGGGGAGAGCTTTGCACAATGGGATTCAAGCTGACTAAAACGGCTCTGCTAATGTCTGCCTGGAATGTTGACCGGAGAGCACAAGGGAAAACTGATGGAGAGAGACTAACTTCAATGGAAATGAAAGCTCCACTCCTGCGGAGCTTTAGTAGGAGCAAGCTTCAGTGGGTGGGTATATGGAATATGATTCATTGTTCACACTCACGTGGGTAGGGATGCAAGTACTCCCTGGAAGCTACATATGGCGACAACTATATTGATCTAGTGTAAAAAGTAGGGCAACAGCTGCCACAGGTGCAGCCCATGCCTAATCACATTTATTCAAGACTTATACATCTAAGTAATGGTGCACAAAACTGCATCCTTGTATTATTGACTTTTGGGGGGAGGGCAGAGTTATAACCTGGTAAAATCATTTCAGAGCCCTTGACCAAAAACAAACACATACAGATGCATTTCATGCCTCCACCTCTTGAACACACATGCTTATTATCAAATGTGAAATTTGACTACAGACCTGAGTCCCCGCTCTTGTCGTGTCTTACTGCTGGCTTGCACTGATTATATTTGGTATATGCCACATCCTTTTTTTAATTGCTGCCCAAGTAGCCCATTTAAAAAGGGTAGCTATGTCCAGGAAGAGGATATTGCACTCTAGAATGTTTTACCTGCCTGCATTTCTGATATTTGATCTGCCACAAAATGTTAATCACTGTGCAGCAATACAACAAATGCAAAAGAAAAAAAAGGAAAGGCTAATGTAGAATTAAATTAGAAGCATTATTTTTCTTATAATGCTACAAGACCATATTAAATATACTTTGGGCTAATATTATCAACATCCATAGGTACTGAGATGATTTGCTCCCTCAGATATTCTGAAGAACCCAGAACGACATTAGTAAACCGCAGAACTACTGTGGTCCAGCAATTTCCCTGTCTGGCAGCCCAAAACATTTTGATGTGTCACGCAAAGGACAACATGGCGATTTCCATCACCCTGATTCCATATTGAAAAGCTAACCCGTTGGACTAATTTAAACAGGACAGCATTCTTTACTGCACCTCAGGGCAGCAGACTAGCTTAGAAGGCACAGGGCAAGTTGTCTGGCTCACACAGCACTCTGTCCATTCTGCATGCCTTAGCATATGAGGCAGGTGCCCAGTTCTGCCCAATGGAAGAGCTAGCCCTGTAAAATCCCTGTTGTCCCCCCCCCCCCGCCCCACTTTTTAAAGGCCTGGTTTGTGGCAATTCTTCTGCCTTGCACAACACAACTGGTGCATCAAAGTTTCACATCCATATTGGCGAAGTACCGTTGCTCTATCTGGTGCAGAGGAATGGTTCATGAGACAGCTAGTGATGTGGTTGATGACGCTTCACCTTTCTGCAATGTTTGCCCTGCATTTAACAAAAGGATCTAACAAGAGCTCCCTGGACTGGGCCAATGGCCTATCTAGTCCAGCCTCCTCTTCTCACAGTGGCAAACCAGGTGCCTAAATAGGAAGCACACTTAAGCCAGACCTGAATACAAGACCATTCTCTCCTCCTGACCCCCAGCCATGAAGCCCTTTGGAAAATTCCAGAGATCAGGTATTTGAGAGAAGGAACAGGACAACAGATTCCGTCTCCATCGGCAGAATTTTAACCTGCTTTGCCTGCTTGTATCTTCACCATTACAATGTCCTGCTGCAACACAGTTCCTTTCCTGTTACCTTTCATTGCCCTTTTTCTTAACTTTCTCATTTGTGTTTCATTTTTGAATTAGACAGGTAGTCTACTAACAAAATAATGAGACTTTTGTTTGCTTGGGATTGCTATGGCTGGCTATTAAGCACCAGTCACACCCCTTTGGCAAAGGCAAGGATGCATCATAATAGTCAGAAGTGTTTCTGTTATAAGGTGGCATATGAGGCAGCAGTTCCACCTTCAGGTTGTAAGGTCATCGTCAGATACTACAGGGAGCAAGGTGCCTTCCTCTTGCTTGTTTTGAACTTCCAGGTCATGCATATAACACAGGGCCGGATTTAGGTTTGATGAGGCCCTGAGCTACTGAAGGTAATGGAGCCCTTTATATGTCCAGCTGTCCTTTGTCAACAACAAATTGTCACTGTTTTTTTGTGTTGATTACTTACATCATAGGAGCCTACACCACACAAAACACTGTTGCTGTATGTAGGTTTTATTCTATTTGTTTTTTATCTTAAATTTTGGAAATGTACATCCAGGTTTTTCCCCCTGTAAATTTTTTTGGGGGACCCCCAAGAGAGTGGGGCCCTATGCTATAATTTGTTTACCTTATACGTAAATCCGGCATTGATATAACATGCAGCTAAGGCACTGCTTATCATATCACAGTTACATGTAGAAGCAAGGTGGGGGACTGTTGCACATAACTTTTAAAGGTGCGTGTTTGTTTTCTTCTAGTGCAGTGGTTTTGCAAACCTTATGCCTTCAATGAATGCTTTTTACATCAGTCAAACCCCGAGGTCTGCTGTGGATCTGCTGCATGTTGCAAAGGATTCTGGGGCCAGCTGGGCCTTCTCCACCACCCTTCAACAACTGAACAACCTCTTATATATCAGGGAAAGGTTGCAGACGGAAATCGGGATTGATGGGCAAGCTGTATTACATGGAAAACTCCCTACAATTCTTACTGATAATCAGAGAAGCTCTGACAAGCTTCCAGGGTCCCTGGAGCTACAATACTTGCAATAATTAATGTCTAAAATAGGGGTTGGGGAGGGGGGATATAATCTGACCAACCCTGGAAACCCCTGTTTTGCCTTCTAATCCTAGGTGTGCAGATGCTGGCGGCTGATATGCCTGGAAGCATCAAAAGCTACCATATGCCAAGTCAGACCATTGATCTATCTAGTTCCGTACTGTCCAAGAGTTAGATTCTGGAATTGGTTTTGAATTGCAGAGGCAACCCTGGAATATAAGGAATGAATACTACTATTACACATAACTGCTGCGGCCGAGCCTGGACCTGGCCTTTCACTTCTGACGGAAGAAGGGCCACAGCCCATTGGGACATCATCTGCTTGGCAAGCAGAAAGACGCAGGTTCAATCCCCAGCACCTCCAGGTCGGACAGGGAAAAGGCTTCTGCCCCAAACCCCAGAGAGCGGCTGCTAGTCAGTTCAAATTAAGCCCGGTAAATAAAGCCACTAACATGCTGGAAGGCAATTTACAGATAACAATAAGTGTACTGCTAAAAACATACCAAAAAAAACCATTAAAAGCAATTAGCCATGGAAAGAATTAATCTATTGAAACCATACCAATAATTAAAGCCCTTTCATTAAAAGCAGTTTCCAAAAGTACAAGCGCCGGAGGAGAAACCCATGTCTTTCCCATCCTCCCTTCCAAACTCACTTCACTAATCTGCTCCAACTAATGGTACAGCCCCCTCTGTCTTGAAAACCCTTTCCGAGGTATCAAGCACGAGGTTTTTTTTGCTTGTAAGGAACTTAAAGCCACAGATTGAAGCATAAACCCGTGGGGAAGACAGAAAAGCCTTCTGCTGCCTGGCGGGCTTCCCTTCCTCGCTTCCCCCCTCCCCCCCGGCCGAGAATGGCACGGTCCGCAGCGTGCTGTGTGCCTCGGAACGGCGGGTTGGCGACCGGCTTAGCAACGGAGGTGGAGGGACAAGCTCCGTGCGGAGGGGAAGGGCGGGTGCCGCCGCCTTCTTTTTGCTCCCCTCGGCCTCCCCATGCCCCTTCCCCGCGCAGCCCCCACGGCTGACCCTGGGCTGCGTGGAGTGACCCGCACGCACGGTAGGTCCCTCCTTGAGCCCAGAAGAGCCAGGGAAGGGCTGCTGGTAGGTTTACACTGGGGGCCCAGCAGGTTGCAAGCGCAGCAGGCTGTTGTTTGCCCGGGGATTCATTGTCAGAGCAGAAACTCCCCTGCGTGAGGCAGCGGACGAGGGTGTGGGTTTGTTATTATTGTTGTTGCTATTATTATCATTGCAACTCTTTCCCCATCTGTCCCAGTGTTGTCTATTCCAGGGTGCAATGCAATGGTTCCCAAACTTTTTCCAGGCTGCTTCCCACCCCCTTTAGTTCCACAAACTCATTCCTAGTATCCTCTTAAAAGGCATTATTCAAAGTAACGGATCTGCATAAGCCGCATCATAAAATTTAGAACAGGAACAATTAATTGCGTGTTTCTTTAGAATCCAATTAAAACTTTTTAGTTTAATTCAACATAACTGAGGGATTTGATCCACTGTTGACACCAGTTTCCCACAGCCTGATAGTCATTTATGCCTCCAGTGCCACCCTGACACCCCCTTAGTACCACCTTGGTATCCCACTGCCCAGTGCATTATAGACTAAATATTTGGCATGTGGTCCTTTTTAGCTCCTGGGCGATTGGGTTGCTTCTCTATGCAGGCTCAGGCCTCATCGGCCTCCTTAGCCACTAACTCGGCTTGTAGTGAGTTTCTACATGAGCAACTGCAGACAACACCCAGGGGTTGCCAACATGGCGCAAATGTTAGTTTGAGGGCCATACATGTCTACTGCTTCAGGCAGCAGATTGTTGAGTACAGGTGACCAACCTGTGGCATGGGTGCCATAAGGGGCCTGGGGTGTTGGTGGTGCACTTCAACAAGGGTGCTTGAGAAAGAGATCCTGTGGCCTTAGATAATGGCCTGCTATTGTTCCTTTCTCTTCAGTGCTGCCCTGCTACTAGCTAAAGATACACCTGCCTCTGGATGCAAGGAGAATTTTATATGCACTGTAGTAGTGTGGATTGGAGTTGTAATACTACATAGTGTCCTTGCCCAAATGATTGGCTATCACTCTTCTAGAAATACCTGTGGAAGTTTGTCCTATCCTTGTATTTTTTTAAGAGTCCATGTTCCCTTGAGATCCCACTATACAAAGGGAGGTTGAGCTGAGCTGGAGTATCTGGCCCAAACTCATCCAGAGACCTTCATGGCTGGTTGGGAATTTGAACCCAGGCCTTCTGAGTCCTAGACACAAGTTCTCACACATTTTATTTTTTAAGGTACGTTGTTCTCTATTTATTTCCCACCATGAACAGTATGGCACATACAACCTTTTTTAGAATAGATAGGTGAGGAAGCTGTGTTGTGCGAGAAACACATAGCACAGGGTTGGTACCAAAAGCAGCAGTTCATCTCCCTTCTGCCTCAGTTTGGGTAGTATTGCTGGCCTCATTTCCCTTCTGGCTGCAGCCATCATTTATGTAGTTTGGCTTGGGAATGTGTGACAGTATCATCAAGATACTGGGTGAGCATTGTGGGGCGGGCCAGTTTGAAAGTGGGATGCTGTTTCAGTGTCCACTTAATGTCAAGTATAACCAGTGCTATTTTTCTAGAAAAAGAGGTGCCAGAACTCACCATGAATGCCTTCCTTGTTCTCTTATAATGGCAATGGCGCCCACCTGAGAGGTGCCGGAACTGAGTTCTGGCAAGTTTCGGCTGGAAAAAAAGTCCTCAGTTTAACATGTAAAAAGGTAAAGGTAAAGGGACCCCTGACCATTAGGTCCAGTCGTGGCCGACTCTGGGGTTGCAGTGCTCATCTCGCTTTACTGGCCGAGGGAGCCGGCGTACAGCTTCCGGGTCATGTGGCCAGCATGACTAAGCCACTTCTGGCGAACAAGAGCAGCACACAGAAACGCCGTTTACCTTCCCGCCAGAGCGGTACCTATTGATCTACTTGCACTTTGAGGTGCTTTCGAACTGCTAGGTGGGCAGGAGCAGGGACTGAGCAACGGGAGCTCACCCCGTCGCGGGGATTCGAACCGCCGACCCTCTGATCAGCAAGTCCTAGGCTCTGTGGTTCAACCCACAGCACCACCCGCGTCCCAGTTTAACATGTAGTTCCACCCAAAAGATTTGCTCTTCTTCTCTCCCTTTCTGTTCCAAGGCTTCACCTGGTTTTGCGATGTCATGAAGGGGTTGGCTGTGACAGATGCCCAGCAGATGAAGTTTTGTGAACCCAATGGACGGTTTATAATTTTCTGTGGCAAGCCCCAGGCTCTATTTACATTTAGATAACTCTGCTTACTTCAACTGGACCTGCAATTCCTCTTAGCTGCTGCTGCCTTTTGTAATTGTCTTCATTAAGTAAACAACTCATTCTAAAGTTATTTAAAGCAGGGAATTCAAATGCCGTTACTATAACTCCACATATTAATGTCTAGCAAATGAAGAGGAAGT